AGTTTTCCCAGGATTTAAAGTGAGCAGTTCACAATTTGCAGACTTATATACGTTAATATACATTAATTCTCTAAATATTTTGATATTGGAAAAATAACTCTACTGTGTGAGAAAACTAGATACAAGTTTAAAAGGCTGTAAAGTATTTATAAAGTAATATATATATAAGCAGGTTCAGCATTTTGTAGAGTAAAACTTAAACCAGGACGATTGCTTATTGTTAGATATATTGTGTTCTTTCACAATTCCAAGCATAAAAAATTAACGTATTTTAAAACCGAAATCTTATTTTAACCTTAAAACACTATACAGTTTTCACAGCAGGTTATAAGCTTTGAATAATAAAATCAGTCCCTAATGTTGATAATATTCATAAGTATTATATTTCTAATGCAATAATGTTTTAAATAGGTTGTGCCGATTTTCGACGTAATGATAGTACTGATGTTGATAAGATGTGTTTGCTGTGTTGAAAGTAAATAAATACTAAGAGAAAAAAAGGTTTCGTAGGAAACCCCGTTAATTCTTAGAACGTTTGCACTGATAAGACCAAACTGGAACAACGTTTCCTTCGACTATGGTTCTACTTTAAGTTGACCAGGACAAAAACTTTATAGCTTAGTTTGATTCTAATGTATTATTGCATACTAATTAGTAGTTGTCAAAACCAGGTCAAGATACTTTATGTTTCACGACATCACTGATAAGATCACAAATTAGATTATTTCACATCCGTGACATCTTAATCAGCACAACTGTCAAGAGCTCTTTTCACAATGTCCCCAGGTAGGTCAACGGTAAGTCTTCGGGCTTACAACGCAAAAAAAACAAGACTCGATTTCCCGCGGTGGACTTTGCACCAGGAAAACAAAACGTTATATTAAAAATTGTAGTATTTCGCGATATCTTATCTAGTATATAATCAGTATTTATATTAACATAGAACATGAGAAACTGGACTGATATATGTCATGAAATGGAATTAGATTAGTTGTTAATCACTCATAAAATGCATCCATGACCCCAAAGTGCGATTATTACCATTTTGCGGTAACGGGATGCGAACCACGAAACTTCAGATCTACAGTCCAGACGCTAACCACTGGACAGTACCTATAAAAATTGCACCCTTGAATTTAAGAGTTAGAATTTATTATATTCAAAAATAGTCATACCACTCACGTCATATAAAATAAATGAATCATTCACTTTTGCTAAAGAGATTAATGGCCTCAAATCCAGTAAAACATTAATTTATTTTAACGGATTAGGTTTGTTTGTAATTAAGCACAAAGCTACACAATGGGTTATCTGTGCTCTGCTCACCACTGCAGGGGGGCTAATGGATTCACAAATTGTTATACGTATTATTCAGTATATATAATCGGTGCAAAAAGAAAAAACAACAATACGTACATGAACCCAAAAATCTAAACAAATAAGGTAGTATAACATTATTTCAATGCTCATAATGCCATATCTATTTCAAACATTCACAGAATAAGGTTTTTTATTAAGAAGTTGCATTTCCTGAACTTTTCTTGTTTGTGGTTGAGCACAAAACCACATAATGTGTTATCTGTGTTATACCAACTACGGGTATGGAAACCTGAAGTTTAGCGTTATAAGACCCCAAACTTGCTGTTTGAGCTATCGTGGAATATTTGTGGATCTAAAAATACAACATGTAATTATTATAATTTTGAAAGCTTCAAAATCAAAAAGTATGTAATGTTTTCACCCGAAATATAACTTCAATAATTTCCCCTCCCTGAGGGCTTATAACGCTAAAAGACAAACGGGTTTCATACCCGTGGTGAATACAACACAGACATCCCATGGTGTAGCTTTGTGCTTAACTATGAACAAACAAACAAAACTTTACTGCAGATTTAATCACCAAAGATTTAGTCATAAAATACGCAGTGAAAATTTTATCAGTAAGGAAAAATATAATATAGATAAACTTTAAGAACTTACAATCATTTAACATGAGAAAATTCGTGCAATTTCAATAAACTCCAGAGTGATTGTTTAAAACTGTGTTTTTCTGATCATTGAAAGCACTAGATTTGAATCTGATACTAAAAACACTTAATCGCTTTCAGATAAATAGACCACATAGAATTCAGTAAATGATTAAATCCCTCATTACTGTTGAAATATTTGCAACAGATTTAAAATTTATTATTGCACTTAAAATACAGGCCTTGTACGATTACACAAGTTACTTATTTAAGAGGTCAAAAAACTATTTATCTGTAAACATTTTCACACTAATAGCACGTTTTTTTTTTTATTATGGCCTATTTTCAGCTTAAGTTGTTTCAAATACAATCCAGTCAACGTACTCGATACCCTTTTTTCCAATAAAACAAAAAAATGGTTGCAGTTAAACACATGAAAATAGTTCATTTTTACCAATTTTCAAATAAACAACATGACAGGCCATCCAGAACTTTAAACACCAAATATTTTCCCAGAACGTACTAAGAAATGTGAAAAGTCTTTGTTTTTACTTTGACGGACATGGTTGAGCAACCATCTACTTGAAATCTTCGTATGAACGTGATTTACATTTTGAAAATAATTATATTACTTCAGCGAGTTCCTTATCCCGACAATTACTTACACACACAACGATTACAGTTTAAATTCAAGCGTTTGGAACATTTTTTTTTTGTTCGCTTCTTTGTAAATTTCAATATATTCTCTTCGCTCTTGTGAATCAATAGACCAAACTAGCTGCACGTTTTCAATTACAACGTACTTTCTTCCTCACGAAAGTCCTGGTGAGCTCTCAAAGTGTTAGAATGAAATGTAACATTAATTCTTATTGCCGTGTTTACTGTTACTATTAATAGTTCAAGTTTGATAATTTCGTTTATCTGTAGTTCCGATATATACTATACTCTTCACCTTAGCGAAATCAGGTTTTGGAAACTTCTGATTTGTATATAAAATTCTACTTAATTACGAGGACAGGAGTATTTTGTTGTCTTTTTTAATAACTCAAATTTAATAAGGTTTCAGCTGTTTTTGAATTTAATACTTTACAACAAAAACAAATTTGTTGATATTGTTGTTTTAGACATAATAAGTTTGTTTGTAATTATGCACAAAGATACACAATGGGGTATCTGTGCTCTGCCCACCACGGGTATGGAAACCCGAAATTCTAGCGTTGTTAATCCGCAGACACATCGCTGTGCCACTGGGGGGGTGACATAATAAGTAGACTGAAATTAGTAACATGATAAAAATTGGAGGAAAGCGTATTTGGAGCTTATAAGCACTATACGTATAGATGAAAGATAGTATTGTTTCAAGTCTAGAAACTCATTATTGTTACATAAACACGTTTCACTAATACGTTTTTGCGTTGTTTTGTATTATAAAAAAATCACATTTATAGAGATTTTAGCCTTCTTATATTCAGTATCTTTTATTCGTAAAGTGTGACGTGCAAAGCTATTCCGTACTAAAATAGTATACAAAAGTCATTATTTAATAAAGTATAATCAGCAAATATTTCATTTTTTTTTAAATTATATGCAGCTAATTGTAACTTTCGCTGAAAATTAGTGTGTCCCCATCGTCCCACAGCTTAGCTTGGCTTTCAGTAAGAATTGTTGCTAAGATAACTGAAACCTTCTCTACAGTCACACCAAGTAAATCAGTTGAAATTTCTAAACATGAAAAGCTATAATTCAAAATTTAAAGAAAATTAATAATTTTCAAGAAATATAAAAGCATACAACGTTTTGAGTTTATATTCCAAAATCACATTCAACTTTTTCTTTGAAGGATAAAATGTGTAACTAGATTATATGGGGATAACTATGATAAAATGTATACACACGTTCATGTTATGATTAATTACTCCACTATTGCCCTTGTTTTAATAGTTCCATGTATAGTTAACATCCAAAACAAGGGCAATAGTGGAGTAATTAATCATAACATGAACGTGTGTATACATTTTATCATAGTTATCAATAGTTCCATGTATAGTTAACATCCAAAACAAGGGCAATAGTGGAGTAATTAATCATAACATGAACGTGTGTATACATTTTATCATAGTTATCAATACTTCCATGTATAGTTAACATCCAAAACAAGCGCAATAGTGGAGTAATTAATCATAACATGAACGTGTGT